TTCAGCAAAGAGCAGATTTGTACTGGGAGGAGGGGGAATGCTTAGGGGATAAGCAGGCAGATTAGTAAATTTTTTTGTGGGGGAGGGGATTTTTGCTAACACATAACGGTCATACATCTTGGGGGGGGGGCACAATTCAGCATGTTCACCCCGGGCTCTAGATGATCTTGTCCCGGCACTGCTGGTCAGTAACACTCCTCCTGTATTAGATCGCCCCCACTCTGGAGGAAGGAGCACAGGGGGCACTTTGGACAGCAGCATTATCTGTCTGGGGGGAGGGGAGTGTTAAATGGACTAGCAGATTTAAATACACTAACAAATTGAAGCCAAACTCCAAGCAATTACACCAAACATGCTTTCCCTTTTAGGATAAAGTTTTACATAAATAAATAAAAGCTGAGTATTGTAATCACCCGTCATTGGCAGATGGTTTGTCTCATCCCTGTAACCGCTATATCTGGAAGAGAGCTTGTTCCTTTGAAAAAACAACAGACATACTGGCAGGATCTCCAGATAAAAATAGAGAAAATAAAGCCTAAAAAATAAAACTAATGCAGCCGTCACATCTAAGAATTGGTAAGCTGCAATATAACAAATGTTTCCCTTTGGGTTTAATACGGCTTTGAGGTACAGAATGTCCTTCCCTTATAACCGCTTTACAGAATAAAATATTTTCACCTTTCTAGATGACTTATTTATAACAGTGAATAAACCATCCAATAATCTCTGCTGTTCAGCAGTCAGACGGGTAAAAAGGGCCATAAAAACCGACTCATGATTAAATCTTCAAAGGGGTTGTAAACCCTTACCTATACCCAGTGCAGTGACTGGCCTCAGGAGATACACAGAGAGGAAACAATCCTCCTACATAAGTTGTACTGTGTATCTGCAGTCTTCTCTTCTCTACATCTGTTCAAAGTGCAGAATTTATACAGCTTGTCCAAAAGTTCAGAAAACAGGGGGCGGGAGCTAAAGTTACATAAACTCTTACCTTAACATAACCCCCAACCATAGCATAACCCAGACCGAGCGGCCGCAGAGGCGGTGGGGTCAGTATGCTCCTGCCACCGCTGAGCACCTTCCAGGTCCTCCCTAACCCCCCTCCCCTATCCTTCTCCTCCTTCGAGGCCCACTGCATCCGGCTCTTCTCTCCCACCCCTCTGAGGATTGCAGTAATCTATCGGCCTCCTGGTTCTGCATCCCTCTTCCTAGACGACATTGCCGCCTGGCTTCCCTTCTTCCTCTCCTCCGAGCTACCGACCCTTCTCCCCTCATCCTAGGGGACTTCAACATCCCCATCAACGCCAAATAGCCTGGCTACTTCCCAACTCCTCCACCTAACCTCCTCCTTCGCGCTCACACAGCACACACAGTCTTCCACCCACACCAATGGAAACACCCTGGACCTCGTTTTCTCCCACCTCTGCACCCCCACAACTTCACTAACACCCCCTTCCCCCTCTCTGACCACCACACCTCCTCACTTCTCCATCTCCCCCTCCATTAACTCCCCCCCCCCAAAGCGTCTAACCATCACCCGCAACCTCCGCAATCTGAACCTGACCCATCTCACACCCGGCAGCTGACCGTCTGTATGACAGTATCCTCCCTCTGTCATGCCCTGACCTGGCCACTACTATGTACAACATCTCACTGTCGGCTGCCCGCCCTCGACTCCCTGGCACTCCTAACCACGCGTAACACCAGACCCTGACCGCTTCAAACCCTGGCCAAACGACCACACGAAAATTCTCACAATGACGCAGTCGCGCGCTGGAGCACTTATGGCGCAAAACCAGATCCCCTCGCGCGTTCTCCCTCTACAAAGCCGCCTTCCTCACCTACACCATCTCCCTCCACGCCACCAAGCAAGCCTATTACGTAAACCTTATCAACACCCTCTCCACCCTGACCCCGCCGGCTCTTCTCCACTTTCAAATCCCTGCTCTCTCCTCCCCACCTCCACTCAGTACCTCACTCACCACCCACGAGATTGCCAATAATTTCCCAAACAAGATTGACGCAATCCGTAAGGACATTGTCAACTCACAATCTACCTCTCCACCCTGCCCCCCACCCTCCCTCAACCCCTCAACCCCCCCCTCCCTCCGACCTCACTACCCCCCCCGCTATGCCTAACACCCCCGCACACTATCACCTCTCCAACGCTTCGCTCCTTCAGCCCAGCTACCCCCTGAGGAGGTCTCTAAGGTCTTCACTGAAGCCCGCCTCACAACCTGCCCCCTGGACCCTATCCCCTCACAGCTCCTCCAGTCACCCCCCCCCCCCCCCCTCCATCATTCGCTCCCTCACCCACATCTTCAATCTCTCCCTCTCCACTGGCACTTTCCCTCCCCTCTAAAGCACGCGCACATCACCCCCATACTCAAAAAACCCTCCCTTGACCCCATGACCTGAACAACCTCAGACTCATCTCCCTGCTACCATTCACTTCCAAGCTCCTTGAGCACCTGGCCTACAATAAGCGCCCACCTCACTGAGAACAACCTCCTTGACCCTCTACAGTCTGGCTTCCGTCCTCTACACTCCACCGAAACCGCCCTACTTATAATCACCAACGACCTGCTAACCGCCAAAGCTAATGGCCACTACTCTGTCCTCCTTGACCTCTCCGCGGCCTTCGACACTGTCGACCATTGACCACCCTCTCCTCCTTACTAAACTGCACTCCCTTGGCATCAGGGACGCTGCTCTCTCCTGGTTCTCCTCCTACCTTTCCCAACGCTCCTTCAGTGTCACCTATAACACTGCCACCTCCCCCTCTCTGTCGGAGTCCCCCAAGGCTCTGTCCGCGGAACCCTCCTCTTCTCCATCTATACCTCCTCCCTTGGCAAACTAATACACTCCCACGGCTTCAATTACCACCTCTATGCCGACGACACACAAATTTACCTCTCCACCCCCCACCTCACCCCCTCACTCTCCGCCCACATCGCCTACCTCCTGAACGACATATCAGACTGGATGTCGCTCCATTTCCTCAAACTAAACCTGTCCAAAACCGAGCTCCTGGTCTTCCCCCCACCCCCGCGCCCCCCCCCCCCCCCCATCCTCTCCATCACTACTAACAATGCCACCATCACTCCCACCCCACATGCCAAAGTCCTGGGTGTCACCCTGGACTCCAACCTTTCCTTCCTACCTCACGTCCAATTACTATCAAGACCATGCAGGCTCCACCTCCGCAACATCTCCAAGATACGTATGTTCCTCACCCCAGACACTACTAAACAACTCGTACACTCCCTCATCATCTCATGCCTAGACTACTGCAACTCCATTCTCACTGGCCTACCCAAACAAACGCTATCCCCACTCCAGGCGATCCTGAACTCAGCGGCGAGACTCATCCACCTTGCCAACCGCTCCACATCTGCCACCCCCCTCTGCCAATCCCTTCACTGGCTCCCGATTGCCCAGCGCATAAAATTCAAACTGCTAACCCTGACCTACAAAGCCATTTACAACGCCGCCCCAAACTACCTAACCTGCCCGTGCCCTTCGCTCCTCACAGGACCTCCTACTCTCTAGCTCCCTGGTCTCCTCCTCCCCCACGCCCAACTGCAGGATTTCTCCAGGACTTCCCCCATCCTCTAGAACTCCCTACCCCAATCCATCAGACTATCACCTTCCCTCCTCACCTTCAGGCGCACCCTAAAAACCCACCTCTTCAGGGAAGCCTACCCTACCCTCACCTAACAGCCGACCTCCTCCACTCCTCCCACCACTCCATCCCCCACAGCCATTTCCTCCTGTACCACCTTCCCCTCCCTACAAGATTGTAAGCTTGCAGGAGCAGGGCCCTCGAAACCCCTTGTGTATTGTATTGTTTCTGTCTTGTCTCATGTTCTGTCCCCCTTGCTATTGTACAGCGCTGAGCAAACCCTTTGGCGCTATATAAATACTGTATAATAATAATAACCCCCAACCTGAACCCCTAGAGCTGACCATACACTATACAATCTGTTTCGGATCTGCCAGCAACTACTGTATGTAATGCGAGGGTCTGCCTGGATACAATATGAGTGGATTGCTCATGTCCGGCTTTATATGACATACTTTTGGTAAATCTAAGGCTGACCACACTCTACACCACCAAATCTCCTTTAGCTTTACCAAAACTATCTCCTATGAAGACAAACTTAAACAATCCTCTGAGTGCCGGTTCACACATATGTGGATTGGATTGGTTTGAACCGCATCCAATCCGCATGACATGTGACATAACATTGCTTCCTATGGTGCCTGTCCACATAGGTCCGGTGCACTGGCGGTGACAAGGAGTCATGTGCGATTTCTGAGCAGTGCGGTCCGGTTCAGGTGCGGATTATAGGCTACTGACTTCTATGGGAACCGTTTCTAAACCGCACATGTGTGAACGGGATAAAATCCTGACCCGAACCTTTCCTGAACCTGATGTAAACCTGATCTGAACCGCTGAACAACTACTGTGCCAATTAGCTGTGAATCCTGAGCTTCAATCCGCACCGCACATGTGTGAATCAGCTCTTTATTGGGTCACATCAGGCAGACCCGTATACTACACAGCTGATGGGAGATCTAAAGGTTATTGTACAATCAGATTGTATAGTGTGTGGTCAGCCTAATGCTAAATAACCCCCCCCCCCCAAATCTTGCCTTGTTGGGTGTGGAAGTGATGGAGGACACTCTCCTCGGCTGAGATCTACCAGATCTACCGATTGAAGAAATATATTATCTCTACAAACGGTGTCATCCTATGAACCAGATTCACATTTCTCAGCAGATTTCACCAGATTCAGGTCAGATTTCCTGTCATATGATCATTTTACACGTCTCCTGACCCCCCCAGAGATCTTTATACGACCTTTTATTACCATAACCCGGCATGGAGGGGCTCAGTGAAGGTGGTGGTGAAGGTGTGGAGGTGTCTGATGGGGTCACACAGATCATAAAAGGACAGCTGCCCGGCCTCATAATCCACATAGATCCTGACTCTATCAGGGGGGGTATCGGGAGATATGGGGATTGGTTTTATTATCATGTGAATAGATAACACTCACTGTTATACTTCCACAAACCCAGGACTTGTTATTATATCCAATCCCTGACTGCCCTCCTCCCCTCTCTATACTGGGATAACACATCCCGACTATGCAATATTCTCCCTCACTGACATCCACTTCCCAGTAATGTCGCCCCGAGGAAAAACTCCGACTGCTTAATACCTGTTCCCAGAACTGAAATCTCTCTGGTGTTTCTGGACGATTCTGCTCTATATCTGACCAGGATGCAGTTTTCATGTCATCTGATATCTGTAGATTATTATGAGCTGTGTTCACATCCAGTAATAAGTCTGAAGCTTCCTGTATATTGAAGCATACATTTCCCCCTTTTATCATATCAGATATCCCTGTGTGTAATGTGTGTGAGATTCCAGCCACATCCAGATCCCCTCCATCATGGAGGAGTCTATCATGTCTCTCTCTGTCCTCATCATCTCCCTCCTCAGTATCACACAAGTCCCCTGTGTCTGATTCCTGGAGGACAGTCAGGGGGTCGGTCATGTTACACAGCTCCTCAATGTCCCCCATCTTCCTGGACAGATCCTTCTTCTTTATCTCCAGTTGATGGATCATCTCAGACAATGGACATGAAAGCCGCTCTTCCTGGCTGGCGATCTCCCTCAGGACTCTCTTCTCCAGGTCCTCCAGTTGTCTCCTGAGCTCTATGAACAGGGCAGTGACTCTCTCTGTTAGGATGAGAGAAGGAGAAGAAGCGCCTCTAAGTGCAGCATAACACTTTAATGAAGATGAGAAGTAGGAACCCTCCCATGTATGAGGTACAAGTAATGCATGAAATAAAGTGGTGTGGTGTAACATGGGACAGGAGGGGGTTGTCATCGGTGTCACTGAGCTGTCATCGGTAACAATGTGTCAGCGTTCCGCTGGAGCAGCGTGGTGGCTGGAGGGGGACAGCTGTGGAGCCGGCCGGCGTGCACGTCCTCCTCAAAGCCGGGGGGAACGCACGCTGGAACGCAGCGATGACGTGGGGCGTGATGACGTCAGTTACCCAAGGTGCACTGCGACGCGTTTCGGAGCATGCGCTGGCCTGGAGAGGCGGAAGTGCGCTCCTTTATCAAGCCGGGGGAAGTGGGAGTCCGATAGTTGTATATATACGGAGTTAATCCTCAGAGGGGCTGATTGGCAATTAATTAACCAATTGTTTCAGCAATAATGTGATTCTACCATTGTTGTAAGGTGACACTGTGTGGTTCAAAGAGTACGGGAAGAGAATTAAAATTGTAAATGGATGAAAAAATAAGAAGTTATTAATAATGAAAAAAAATGGTATGGGAAAAAATGAAACGGGAAAATGGAAAAAGAGGAAAATATGGAAAAGATGAAAAGAAAAAGGAAAAAAAATACATTTGGTTATCAATATTTATAAAATGTGAATAGAAATGGTCAAAATGAAAAATAATAATGTAAAATCAAATGAAATTATATATATATGTAAAAAATAAAATACCGTATTTGCCAGCGTATAAGACGACTTTTTAACCCATGAAAATCTTCTGAAAAGTCGGGGGTCATCTTATACGCCGGTATACGGCGAGCTGGTGTCAGGGCGGCACTTTTTTCGAGGGGCGGCGTAGTGGCAGAAGGGACACTAAGTACAGGGGCGGGCAGGGGGCTGCTGTACCTTACCTGGCTCCGGCTCCGGTCCCGGTCCCACGACGATCCGGTCCAGGAAGCGCGGCTGCTCCTTCTTTCAGTTCGGCTGCTCGATGGTCGCGCGGCGCTCGGCTCCGCCTCCTCACCGGTGATTGGGCGCCAGCACTGGAAAGGCACACAGGCGACCAATCACCGGCGAGGAGGCGGAGCCGAGCGGCCCTGCGAAAATCGAGTGAGGGAGCGGCCAGTAAGTGTGCAGCAGCACCATGCTGTGACACTCTTGGCATTGGCACCATCCACGACCTCTTTATTTCCCGCTCCCTCAACCTCCTAGCGATCACAGAAACCTGGATCCAGCCCACTGACTCTACCTCCCCTGCTGCACTCTCCTACGGAGGTCTCACCTGGACCCACTCACCCAGGCCCAACGGTCATAAAGGTGGTGGGGTTGGTCTGCTCCTGTCACCGCAGAGCACCTTCCGAGTCCTCCCAAACCCCCCCCTCCCTATCCTTCTCCTCCTTCGAGGCCCACTGCGTCTGACTATTCTCCCCAACCCCCCTGAAGATTGCTGTGATATACCGGCCTCCTGGATCCATACCCCGCTTCCTGGATGACTTTTCCTCCTGGCTACCCTTCTTCCTCTCCTCTGAGCTACCCACCATAATTCTTGGGGATTTCAACATCCCTGTCAACCTCGACAACCCGGATACAGCCCGTCTCCTCCACTTAACCTCCTCCTTTGCACTTGCACAGTGCATACAATCCACCACCCACTCCGACGGTAATATCCTTGATCTTGTCTTCTCCAACCACTGCGCTCCCCACAACCTCACTAACACCCCCTTCCCTCTCTCTGACCACAACCTGATCACCTTCTCTATCTCCTCGTCCTCCAACGCCTACCCCTCCAAATGTCACACTATTACCAACCGTAACCTCCGCAACCTTAACCCTGCCCCCCTCCACTCTGCAGCTGATCAACTCCATGACCGCATCCTCCCCCTGTCCTGCCCCAACTTGGCTATGACTGCCTACAACAACACGCTGTCAACAGCCCTTGACTCACTAGCGCCTTTAACCACACGCAACATCAGACCCCGACCACTCCAGCCCTGGCAGACTGATCACACTAAAACCCTCAAACGACACAGTCGTGCCCTGGAGCGACTATGGCGCAAAAACCAAATCCCAACAAGCCTTCACCCGCTACAAATCTGCCTTCCGCACCTACACCTCCTCCCTCCACGCAGCCAAACAAGCCTACTTCCTGACCCTCATCAAGACCCTCTCCTCCAATCCTCGCCGACTCTTCTCCACCTTCAACTCTCTACTCTCGCCACCCCCACCTCCACCCAGCACCTCACTCACTGCCCTTGAGATTGCCAATCACTTCAAAAACAAGATTGACACAATTCGCAAGGACATTGCCGCAACTCACACGCCCTCTCAACCCGTCCCCTCTCACACAGCTACCCCCTCATCCCCCCTCCCCCTCAACATTATCCGCAAGGACTTCGTCACTGCTCAAACTCCCTCCAACCCCATTCTCCCTCACTCAGCTACCCCCTCATCACCCCTCTCCCACGGCCCCACCACTGCTCTGACCTCCACTTCCACCCCAACCTACATTCCTCATACTGAAGCTCCGCCAACACCCCGCACCTTTGACCTTACTACCATCGAGGAAGTCTCCAAGATCCTCTCTGATGCCCGCCTCACCACCTGCCCCCTCGACCCTATCCCCTCACAATTCCTACGACCTCCCTCCCCCTCCATCCTACGCTCCCTCACCCACATCTTTAATCTCTCCCTTTCCTCTGGCACTTTCCCCTCCCCTCTGAAACATGCACACATCACCCCATACTTAAAAAGCCCTCCCTGGACCCCAATGACCCGAACAACCTCAGACCCATCTCCCTGCTCCCATTTACATCTAAACTCCTCGAGCGCCTCGTCTACACCCGCCTATGCTCTCACCTCAACGACAACCACCTCCTCGATCCCCTACAGTCCGGCTTCCGTCCCCTACACTCCACTGAAACTGCCTTACTCAAACTCTCCAACGACCTTCTAACCGCCAAAGCTAATGGCCACTATTCAGTGCTCCTACTCCTTGACCTCTCTGCGGCCTTCGACACAGTTGACCACCCCCTCCTCCTCAAAAAACTACACTCCCTCGGCCTCAGAGATTCTGCTCTCTCCTGGCTCTCATCCTACCTGTCACAACGCTCTTTCAGTGTTACCTATAATGCTACCACCTCCCCCTCACTTCCCCTCTCTGTTGGGGTCCCTCAAGGCTCTGTCCTCGGGCCCCTTCTCTTCTCCATCTACACCTCCTCCCTTGGCCAACTCATACACTCTCACGGCTTCAACTACCACCACTATGCCGACGACACACAAATCTATCTCTCAACCCCCCCACCTCACCCCCTCGGTCTCTGCCCGAATCACACACCTACTGAGCGACATATCAGATTGGATGTCGCTCCACTTCCTTAAACTGAACCTCTCCAAAACCGAGTTTCTTGTCTTCCCCCCCCAGCCCGGACACCACCCTCCATTGACTTCTTCATCACATCCAACAATGCCAATATCAAACCCACCCTGCAGGCCAGAGTACTTGGTGTCATTCTGGACTCCAACCTATCCTTCCAGCCCCAAGTTCAATCTTTAACAAACTCGTGCCGACTCCACCTCCGCAACATCGCCAAAATCCGCACGTTCCTAACCCCAGAAACCACTAAACAGCTCATCCACTCCCTCATCATATCACAACTCGACTACTACTGCAACTCCCTCCTCACTGGCCTGCCTCGCCGCTGGCTATCCCCTCTTCAGTCCATCCTGAACACGGCTGCCAGACTCATTCACCTTTCCAACCGCTCTGTCTCCGCCACCCCCCTCTGCCAATCCCTCCACTGACCTCCACTCAGTGTCCTCCCACTGATACCAACGATGGGGCACTATTCCTTCCACTGATACCAACGATGGGGCACTATTCCTTCCACTGACACCAACGATGGGGCGCAATTCCTGCCACTGATACCAATGATGGGGCGCTATTCCTCCCACTGACACCAATGATGGAGCACTATTCCTCCCACTGACACTAATGATGGGACACTATTCCTCCCACTGACACCAATGATGGGACACTATTCCCTCCCACTGACACCAATGATGGGACACTATTCCTCCCACTGACACCAATGATGGGGCGCTATTCCTCCCACTAATACCAATGATGGGGCACTATTCCTCCCACTAATACCAATGATGGGGCACTATTCCTCCCACTGACACTAATGATGGGGCACTATTCCTCCCACTGACACTAATGATGGGACACTATTCCTCCCACTGACACCAATGATGGGGCACGATTCTTCCCACTGACACCAATGATGGGGCACTATTCCTCCCACTGACTAATGATGGGGCACTATTTCTCCCACTGACACTAATGATGGGGCACTATTCCTCACACACTGACACTAACTAATGATGGGGCACCATCATTGGTGTCAGTGGGAGGAATAGTGCCCCATCATTGGTGTCAGTGGATGAAATAGTGCCCCATCATTGGTGTCACTGGGAGGAGTAGTGCCTCATCATTGGTATCAGTGGGAGGAATAGTGCCCCATCATTGGTGTCAGAGCGAGGAATCGTGCCCCATCATTGGTGTCAGTGGGAGGAATAGCACCCCATCTTTGGAATACCATACTGAAATAGCATACCATATTGAAATCAAATCTGATTTTTTCATTTTTATTTGGTGTGTGTGTTGGAAGGGGGGTAGTCTTATACGGCGAGTATAGCTCAAACCCTATATTTTAACAGGAAAAGTAGGGGGTCGTTTTATACGCCGGAAAATACGGTATATAAATGTTTATATATATTAAAAAATATATATACACAAAAAATTATAAAAAATTATAAAATAAAAAAAAAAAAAAAATAAAAATTAAAATATATGAAAAATATATACATTGGGAAATTAAAAAATAATAAACTGTAAAATTAAAAAATTACAAAATTTAAAAAAATAATCAATGAAATATAAAAATGAAAAATAAAAAATAAGTAAATAAATAAAAATAAAATAAATAAAAAAAAAAAAATAATAAAAAATAATTGAAAATTAAAAAATAAGAATTAAAATTAAAAAAAAAAATATATATAAAATTAGATATGTTGCACACAATGGTGTATGCTTGGTGAGATGGCTCATCAATTTAGCTAGTGTCATAGGATGTGAAAATCACCTTGCAACAGTGGTATATAAAATAATTAGATGAGTAAAAAAATGCAGTATAACCATGGTAACGGTAATGATGATAATCAAATACTGTAGAATAATGACAATATTACAAATATAAAAAGAAAAATAAAAGTATTATTATTATTACGCAGGATTTATATAGCGCCAACAGTTTGCTCAGCGCTTTACAATATAACGGGAGACAATACAGCAACAATACAGTTCAATACAAGAGGGATTTGAGGGCCCTGATCCTGGGAGCTTACAATCTAGGAGGGAGGGGCTAGTGGTACAAAAGGTAGTAACTGTGGGGGATGGACTGGTTGGAAAAGTAGAAGATTCCATTATTAGCTGAGGGCAGGATAGGCTTCCCTGAAGAGATAGGTTTTCAGAGATCGCCTAAAAAGTGAGCAGAGTAGGCGATAATCTGATAAATTGGGGTAGAGAGAGTTCAGAGGATGGGGGAAGCTCCGGAGAAGTCCTGGAGATGAGCATGGGAGGAGGAGACAAGGGTGCTAGAGAGTAGGTCTTGCGAGGAGCAGAGAGGACGGTTTGGGTGATATTTAGAGACAAGATTGGTGATGTAATTTGGGGCAGAGTTATAAATGGCTTTATACGTTATTGTTAATGTTTTGAATTTTATCTGTTGGGCAATGGGAAGCCAGTGGAGGGATTGGGGTGGAGGACACTGAAGAGAGGGGGGATGGAGGGGGTGGACACTGAGAGGAGGTCAGTGGAGGGATTGGCAGAGAGGGGTGGAGGACACTGAGTGGAGGTCAGTGGAGGGATTGGCAGAGAGAGGGGTGGAGGACACTGAGTGGAGGTCAGTGAGTGGAGAGGGGTCACTGAGTGGAGGTTGGAGGGATTGGCAGAGAGGGGTGGAGGACACTGAGTGGAGGTCAGTAGAGGGGATTGGCAGAGAGGGATGGAGGACACTGAGTGGAGGTTAGTGGAGGGATTGGCAGAGGAAGAGGGGTGGGTGGCAGATACAGAACGGTTAGTAAGGTGGATGAGTCTGAGCAGCATTCATGATAGACTGAAGCAGATAGCCTGCGATGAGGTCGGCCAGTGAGGAGGGAGTTACAATAGTCAAGGTTTGATATAACAAGGGAGTGAATAAGTTGCTTAGTGGTTTCCGAGGTTAGGAACGGTCGTATCTTGGAGATGTTGCGGAGGTGAAGTCTACATGATTTGGACAGTGATTGGATTTTGGGCTGGAAGGACAGATGGGAGTCTAGGATTACACCTAGTACCCTGGCATGAGGGGAGGGACTGATGATTGTGTTACTGATCTTGATGGAGAAGTCAGTGGGGGGTGGGGGGGCACGGGCTGGGGGAAATACTAAGAGCTCAGTTTTGGAAAGATTGAGTTTGAGGAAGTGGAGTGACATCCATGCCGAAGTCACTTAGTAGGTTAGTAATGCGAGAGGAGACTGAAGGGGTGAGGTGAGGGGTAGAAAGATAGATTTGCGTGTCATCAGCATAGAGATGGTACTTAAAGCCATGGGAGTTTATCAAGTGACCAAGGGAGGAGGTGTAGATGGAGAAGAGAAGGGACTTGGACAGAACCTTGAGGGACCCCTACAGAAAGAGGGAGTGAAGAGGAGGAGGCCTTTTATATAGGTAACACTGAAGGAGCGCTGTGATAGGTAGGAGGAGAACCAGGAGAGAGCAGAGTCTCTGAGGCCAAGAGAGTGGAGTTTTTTGAGGAGGAGGGGATGGTCAACCATATCAAAAGCCACAGAGAGTGTCAAGTAGTAAGAGTACGGAGTAGTGGTCATTGGTGGGATGAGTACGGAGTAGTGGTCATTGGTTGGGATGAGTACGGAGTAGTGACCATTGGTTGGGATGAGTACGGAGTAGTGGTCATTGGTTGGGATGAGTACGGAGTAGTGGCCATTGGTTGGGATGAGTACGGAGTAGTGGTCATTGGTTGGGATGAGTACGGAGTAGTGGTCATTGGTTGGGATGAGTACGGAGTAGTGGTCATTGGTTGGGATGAGTACGGAGTAGTAGTGGCCATTGGTTTTAGCAGTTAGTAGATCATTAGTGAGTTTTAGTAGGGCGTTTTCAATGGAGTGTAGTGAGCGAAAGCCAGACTGTAAAGGGTCAAGAAGGTTGTTGTCGTGAGGTGGGAGCTCAGGTGATTGTAGACTAAGTGTTCTAGGAGTTTAGAGGTAAATGGCAGCAGGGAGATGGGTCTTAGGTTGTTCAGGTTGGTGGGATCCAGGGAGGGCTTTTTAAGTATGGGAGTGATGTGCGCATGCTTTAGAGGGGAGGGAAGGCACCAGTAGAGAGGGAAAGATTGAAGATGTGAGTGAGGGAGCATAGGATGGAAGAGGAGGGTGACCGTAAGTAGTTGTGAGGGGGACAGGATCCAGGGGGCAGGTAGTGAGACGGGCTTCTGAGAAAACCTTAGTGACCTCTTCGGTAGTAGCAAGGTCAAAAGAGGGAAAGTGTTGAGGGAGGTTTAGTATAAGGTATGCTAAGTGGGATGGATGTCTGTGCAGTGGCGATGCCCCTACGAATTGCGTCAATCTTGTTTTTGAAATGATTTGCAATCTCATGAGCAGTGAGTGAGGTACTGGGTGGGGGTGGAGGTGGAGAAAATAGAGAGTTAAAAGTAGAGAAGAGACGAATGAGGACTGGATGACAAGGTATTAATAAGGTAATAATATATATATAAATATAAATGTAGGTACGGGGAATGGAATTATTAATTATTTATGAAGCAGCGGGGGGATGATGCATAGATATGATCACGATGTTGTGGTAGAGGGACCATATAATCTGGGACGGAGTTGGGAAAATTCAAATATCGGAAAAAATAATAATAAAAAAAAAAAAAATAGAAAGATTAGAATATAAATAAAAAATTATAAATAAAAAATTGTTAGACCTGTTAGACCAGCTGATTTTCTTGTACTTTTCCCTTACGTTCCTGCAGACTCTGGACTCTTTTCTCCGTCTTCTCTGTCTCTGTCATCAGTTTCTGCAGAACGTTTCTCAGTTTCTGTTTCTTCTTCTCAGAAGCCTCATCCAGAGTCTCCACCTTGTGTCCCTGGTGTTCTCCATCCAGCCTGCAGGACACACAGATACAGGCGGCATCTGCAGCACAGTAATATTTAAGAAGCTCCCTATGGATGGCGCATTTTCTGTTCTCCATGGAAGTGGTGGGGTCAGTTAGGACATGTTCTGGTGACTTGCTGTGGATTCTCAGGTGATTATCACACAGAGAAGCTTCACACATGCAGACAGGATCTAACAGCGGGTACAGGAGAGTGAATGCAGTAAGTACAGAAGATTCCAGTCTTCTTCTCATCTTGGCTGAGTAGACCGGAAGGTCTCCACTATGTTACGTAGTGTGATGTTCCTCTGCAATGCAGGCCGATCCTGGAACTCTTCTCTGCACTGAGGACAGGAATAACCTCCAGACCCCTCCTGTGTATCCAACGATCGATCAATACAGACCCGGCAGAAGTTGTGTCCACATCTCAGCATTACAGGATCGGTATAAATGTTCAGACAGATGGAACAGTCCAGCTCCTCTCTCAGATCAGCAGACGCCATCGCTGACAGCAGAAGAGAGAAATGAAAGTGAAAGTCTCCAACACGGAAAATCTAAAGGTCGTCTCACATTTCTCAGCACAGGGCGGGGCTGAGCTGGTGTTGCAGTTTTATCTTCAGGAAGTTTGTGGATAAAGCAAATGTTTATAAAATTAAAGGGATATATTCCGACATTTGTGAACTGATCTGTTTTTTTTTATACGTCATTGACTTTTAAATAGTAAATTGCATCTGCAGACAAGACATAAAACTGGGTTATATACCGCAGCGTGAAATGCTATTGGCATGTTTCTGTTTGTTGTATTTTGTGGTTAAGGCTGAGTTCACACACACAGGAGTTGTTCTCCACATAGCCCCACTGTGTTCTCCATCTGCCCGAGAGAAGAAAAGCTCCAACAAAAGCCGCTTTAAGCCTTTGTCCCTCGTGAGGACCTTTGGGGAGTGTGGGGGGGACCGCTGGACCTAAGGACAGGTAAGTGTCTGTATTTTACAGGTCAGAAGCTCCAGTTTTTGCATTTGCTGACTTTAATTTTTTTTTGTTTTTGTTCAGCTGGAACTCCGCTTTAACAACACCCCAAAAGCAGGTTGCAGAACATATTGCATTTGCTTGAATCAGATCACATGGGTATGAACCATGGCGCCGATCTAGGGGGGTGCTGGGGTGGGCTTATGCCCCCCCCCAGATTGCAGCTGCGCCCACCCAGGCAACCCCCATGATACTGTGCCCAAGCAGGGTTGCCAAACCGTTGGTCAGGGAAGCAATCTGTAGGGGCGGCTGGCTGCATCTGCCAAGTCTCTGTGTCCCAGACTCCAGGTAACCAGCTCTCCCCCCTCCCCTCTGCATAGACAGGAGAGGAGACAGGACTTGATCTGCTCCAGCTGATCCCGCCCCTCTCCTTCGGTCTGCCCCGCCCACACAAGGCTAGTGTGGTGCCTCAGAAAGGGAATGTGGGCGGGAGATATGAAATCCAGCCCCTGGAAGCTCCACCCTCTCTGCATGATTGATGACTCTGCCTGAGTCTTCAGATCCCAGCTTGGGGTGAGTGAGCCCTGCTCTATGACTGACCTGTCCCCATCTTCCTCCCTTCTCCCCCTCCCTGTTCTAGAAGGTTTTGCAGACATGATTTCATGTCTAGGGACACCTGAAGTACTATTGCGGATGGCTGACCGACTACTAGTTGGAGAAACTGAGAGATATTTAACGCACACGTCTGCCATGCTTCTGTTTAACCCCCTCCTGCCCACAATCCCTTTAAGAGCTCCTTCACACTAACTTTGGTCTCTGAAGAGCAACCTGTGTTCAGATAACTCTTCAGAGAGCATTTGGCAGGCAGCAAGGAGGTGTTGTATCTCCTCCTCACCACCTTCTTTAACCCCTCGCCCTCCTGAGGATTTCCCCCCCTTCCTGACCAGGCTATTTTTTGTGTTTCGGCGCTGTGTTACTTTAACTGACAATTGTGCGGTCATGCAACGCTGCACCCAAATGAAATTTATGTCCTTTTTTCCCCCATAAATAGAGCTTTCTTTTGGTGGTATGTGATCACCTGTGCATTTTTAATTTTTTGCGCAAAAACATACTATTTTGAGAAAAAAAAAAAAACGTATTTTTTTTTACTTTTTGCTATTAAACATGTCCAGTAAAAAAATTTCAAAAATCAAATTTCATCATAAATTTAGGCCAAAATGCATTCTGTGACATTTCTTTGGTAAAAATTGTTTTTTACTAGTACTGGCGGCGATCAGCGACTTATAGCAGGACTGCGGAGGGCATTCTGACACTGGGGGGGGGGGGGGACTAACTGCCATTGACACCCCAGTGACACCCAATACAGTGATCAGTGCTAATAAAAAGCACTGATGCTGTACTAATAGGCACTGGGCAGGAAAAGTTTAATTGAGTGGCACGATCAAAGGGTTAACTGTGTGCTGGGTGTGTTTCACTGTACGCATGCTGCTATGCAGAGCCATACAAAGCAGTGTGCAGGAGCCGACAGGGAGAGATCTGTATTGTTCACTTACAGTTCTCTCCCTTCGTCAGTAATTCTCCTCGATCACCGGGTACTGGCAAGTAATCACCGTCCCGCGACCCGGTGATTGACAGCCGAGGCTGCGAATAGCGGTGCGGGTAGGTCACATGCGCCCCCTACCCGGAACTGCAGAATCAGGTATACATACATGTGATTTTGCGCACCCCGTGGCGCCCCTGTAGCAGTATTACTGATCTAGGGCGGACAGGAAGGGGTTAACCCCTGGAACGCCACATTAGCACACCGCAGCCGTATACATTGCATGCAGTTGTGAGGCGCTTACAGAGCAGCCCCATTCACTGGACTAGAACACGGTTATCAGGCACTGTGCCCACAGAACGCAACAGAGGGGATCATTTTTGTCATGGCCACGAAACAAAGAATCACAGTGGCCGCGTGTTGTCAGCCGTCTGTAAATTTACTGATGGTTTGTAGAAAAACAGACACTTTTCTCCTGTCCATAAATGCGGACCGAGAAAAGAGCCCTAAAAATCCCCTTGTCATCAGCTCTGAACTGCACATGCTCAGTATGGAGCCGTCCTATTAGAGAATTGCCAGGCTCGGCCTCAGGGTGTGGGCGGGGGTGGGGGCGGGTCCGGGTGTGGGCAGGTGGCGGGTCCGGGTGTGTCCCTGTACAATGACAT